AGACCTGAGCGCCACTGCTTCCGGGCAGAGGGGAATGTGCAGGACAGTCCATGCTGGCAGCCTGCTGAGCTGGCATCACCACCCCCACTTCACAAGAAGCTGGAGGTTGGAAGGGTACACTGACTTGCTCCAGGCCCAGCACTGGGACCAGAAGTCGGTCCCCTGACCCAGACCCTGCTTCTCCCACACACCCAGTAGCTGACCAAAGAAGTCTAGAGCCCCAGGGGGGAGCCACTGGGCAGAGAAGCACCATGACACATCCCTCTAATGTGCACGTCATTATCCTTATGCCCAGGCTTTGGGAGGAGATGTGCCCACTCTGGCGTCCCAGCTGCTGAACATCCACGTGACTATTCAAAGGTTGATGCCAGGCCATGCTCTGAGGGCCAGGGAGCACATCTGGGATTGGAGGAGGGCAGCATGTTCTCCCAGTAAAGAGAGGGCTCTTCCCCACAAGCCTGAGCTCCATCCCAGAAAGGTGCACACAGAAGATCTGTCCAGCACACCACCACCCACCAACCATCTCTTCCTCTTTGCCGAGCTTTTAGTACAGCAGCCCTGGCATTCCCCAGGCAAAACCAGATAAAAAAGACGTTCTCTCCCAGATGAGGACAGCATGGCCATGTCACAAAGGCCACCACAGTTCCTCCAGACCAGCACAGGGAACAGCAAGAGCCCCAGTATGAGGGCCTCGGGTAGTGGGGCTGACAGGAGCGGCAGCACACAGACAAGAGGGATGCTGGGCAGCACCTTCCAGTCAGTGCTGGCGATGACCGACAAGCTGTCGGCAGGAAAGGGGTCCTAAGGTCATGGAGCATGGTCCCAAAGAGGCAGGCCGAGCTGCCCCTGGGCCTGGGCCCACCCACATTTCCCTAATCTACCATGCTCCTCCCCCGCCAGGGGCCCATGGTGGCAGGGACAGGAAGCATCAGGCCAGCCAACGCAGGGCACTCCGGCTGGCTCAGAGTCGCTCACCTGCACTAACCCACCGGCTCTTCAGCATGCTGTCTGCATGTCTACCCTGCCTGAGGGCGATGAGCCCAAGAGGGCAGAGCAGCGCCTGAGAAGCCTAACCAGTGCCTCGCGCAGCATCTCTAGCAGCTGGGCCCCGGGGGCTGGGAACCACAGCAGCTGGAGTCCTGTGCAGCCACCCAACAGGACAAAGGGGACTCATTCTTGCTGGCGGGAGCAATATCCATTACATCAGTGCGTGTGAGATGCCAGCTGTGAGGCATCGGGGCTGCCTGTGCAGGGCCTGAGTGCAGGGTGGGGGCAGATCGTGCATCACCCCGATTCCCTTCCAGGTGGACGGCAACCAAGGCTTAACGGACCTGGGGGCTGCAATCTCAGGTGACCTTTCCTTTGTTCTTGGAAGTCTTTGTAATTTCCCAGCCTTTTGAGTTTTTTTAACAAGTATGTGGCACTGCTGCCCTAACAGAAAAACAAAACAACAAGCTATCTTCATTCTGAGGAAAAGCAAATCGGGCAAGAGAGAAAAGAGGAGAGCGTATGTGGCATGTCAAGGCAGCTGGGCCCTTTGCCCGTCCAGAGGCCAGCAAGGGAGCCGCCCCCCCAGGAAGGCACAGCAGCTACGGGACCAAATACTCGTGGATCTACCTCCTTCCCTACTGTCACTCAACCACCAGATGCCCAGGTGGGGGCAAGATGTTGGAGGCCAAGTGGCAGCAGACTTGGAGAATGTGACTCAGCAGGGCAGCCAGGACCAGAGGGCAGTGCCGGGGGGGCCCCCCAGGTCAGAAGTGCTACAGCCTCCCCAGAAGGCTCCAAGTGCCAGGCAATTCTGGGGAAGGCGCCCACAGTCCTCCCCGACAGACCCTGCTTCCAGAGGCCCGCTCGCTCCCGTGCCAGGCACCTCGGTGCTCTTGGGAAGAGCGGCCTTCCACAAAAACTCCTGCCCGCCTACCCATGGCCCAGGAAGGCAGCTCAGGGCACCCAGAGAACAGTGGGCCCTCGGCTCTGCTGGGCACAAAAGCCAGAAGGGACTGGCATGTATCAGGACCATCCACTGCTGCCAGTCAGTGTCTCTTCAGGGCCCCAGGGAACCCAGGCCCTCCTGAGCAGGGCGAGCCCTCGCCCTCTGCGCTCCCCAGCATCCCAGCCCCGCTGGGCCGCTTGCTGCTCCTCCAGCACTGTGAGCTTGGCGAGCTCTTCTCTTTGTCCACATTCTTTCCTCAGGCTCCTGCATTGAGCTCTTCAGTGATTTCCAACCTCTCTTGGCTTTAAGTCGCATTGCTGGGGGCTCCAAACTGGCCTGATTACCTTAGACAGATCCCCGAAGTGCCCCACAGGCTGTATCTTCACTGTCACTCACCACCAAGTGCTGAGTTCCACTGCAGTTTTCCCTTCAGCCCGGCAATCTTTAGGAGTGCCTTCTAGTTTCCAAATCTCGGGGCCTGGGTGCACTGGTGTCTCTGAGGCCACCCTGGCCACACGGTAGCTTCCTCCTGTTAACTAGTCACTCTTGATGCCTAGCTCACCAGCTTAGGGCAGGGGTGCTGCCAAGTCATTTCTTCCCTCAGACAAGCCCAGGGACCTCTGCAGCAACTCCTGGTATGACTCTGGGCATTAGCTCTTGGCAGGGCCTCCCTCAATGTGAAGCCCACCTGCCCCGATCTCCAGAGGTGCCCACCCGCCTGAGGTCCTGACCCTCATCGGGCTCCAGGCCTGGCCCACTGGCAGGGACACCTCACAGGCTCAACCAGGCCCTTCCTCCTTCCCTCTCTGCTTCTGGCCTGTCAGTCTTTCATGAGATGACCCTGCTTGACCATCACGAGTGCTGGATGCAGCCTGGCTTCCTGCTCCACTCTCCCTCCAGACCTAGCTGCACTTGGCCCTTGAGCTTGGCTGGACCCACACTCAGTCACTTCACCACACCCACCCTGCCTTGCCAACCTCCAGTCCCAAGGGACCTGCACAGTCTGGTTTCTTCACTCTTAAACGGCAAAGTGTCAATGGAGAGAATTTAAAAAACAAAGGAGCGTTCAGTGCTTAGACCCCGCAGACCCCAGACCTCTCCACTGTCTTCACCCCTCAGCTGACTCCCTGAGGCCCCTGCATGCCTGAACTTTGACCGCTGTGTCCACACAGCTGTGCTAGCAGAGGCTCAGGTGGGTACTCCCACCCATCAACCCCTTGCAAGGGTTTTGAAATGCTTTTCACTGGCTGCTAGCAAATAAAAAGGAATGTTACACGAATGCCCAAGTCAGAGGTGAAAGAAGAGTGGCCATCAAACAGACACGGGCACCAAGGCCCAAGAGGCCCAGGTGCGGGTGCTGTGGCCTCTGACCCCTGTGCTCAGGCAGAAAACAGCAATCCAGCCCAGAAGACCGCTTCTTCCGCAACCGCCACCACCACCCGGGGGGCCTCCCACACGCGCTTGCTTACCAGGGGCCGCCGGGGGCTGCCTATTGTGTCCTAGGGGTGCCCCGTGCACAAGGAGTGGCCTCTGGGAGGAGCTGCTGCCCAAGAATGCCGATGCTCTTTCCCAACCACGGCCGAGGACACCTACTCCCAGCCCCAACCCTGGGCTGCTGGCCGGGGACAGAGGGCCAAGCTGGCCTCCTGGTTACCTGGGTCAGAGCCAATGAGCTCCTTCCCCTCTTGATGTCCCTTCACCTCTCCCAGGAGGTGCCCAACCGTCCAAGCCAGGTCTGAGCCTCCCAAGCATCGAAGGAATTCCCCAGGATGAAAGGGTCCCCCAACAGCTGCAGAACACTCCAAGGAACGAGGGATGAGGGCTCACATGCCCCCAAGCCCCTCTGCCACACCGCCGCCCCTCCTCCTCGCGGGCTGGCCCCTGCCTACCCTGGCATGGCGGCTCCCAGGACCATCGGTGGACCCCACGCTCTGAGCCTGTGGTGTCAGGACAACCAGTCTCCAGCACAGGCCTGGGCGCAGACAGCAGCCCTAGTCTGGGTTTCTGGGCCCTCAGCAATGGCTGCTCACTGCACTGGGGGTCAGCTGGGGCCACATGGAACCATGTGCCATGGGTTCCTGTGCAGTTCAGTCGCTCCGCGGTGACACGAACATTAACTGCACAGCCACAAACACCAGATTTAACTCCCACCCACATCCCGCCCACCATCCTCTCCCAAATAGCTCTGGGGACTTAAACCAAATGAGCATGGCTCGAGATTATGTTTCAAAAAAGACAGAAAAATAAATCTGGATTTCTAGTACACTGCCCCCTCACTTGCTACACAGAGCCATGGGGGCCTCGCTCAGGGCACGAGGCTTGAATGGCAGCTATAGCTGGTAAGAAAGCCCTTCCCTGGCATCCCCTGCAGCCAGACACCCCAAAGCCTGTCCCGGACCCAGCAAGCTGTACTGCGCAAATCCCCACAGAAGACATTCAGAGCCTTGTGAAGGCCACTGGCACCCCAGCCAGCCCAGTGCCACCCTCCAGGAGTCAAGCCCTGGAGAAGACAACCTGATGGGCAGAACCAATAAGGGGCAGCAGGCCAAACCCGCTCAGGGCAGCTGGTGGGGCACACACAGGTGGGTCGAGGGAGTCGCAGCAGCCATCCACCAGGGAACAAGTTCCAGGCGCTGTGTGACAAGAGAGGCAGAAGCAAGAGGACGTCCTGGGAGAGGTGACAAGACCACAGACACAGTGGAGACCCAGATCGGCCCTCGAAAGGCCCCACCCGTGGGTGAGTGGAAGGTGGGGAGATGGGGACCCCCATCCTGGAGGAGAAGCCAATGGTGACGGTGCTGTGCCCATCAACTAAGGCCCAGTCATCAGAGCCCCCCCCAATGGCTCCATTTTCCCAGCACACACTGCCTACCCACCCACGGTGCCAGCACCAAGCCCGTAACAGAAACAAAAACAGCCTTTCACCCACAGCATGGGATCACTTTTCAGGGGCTGAAGGGGTCCTAATCTGTGAGGACCTACTGTGTGGGGAGCTGGGTGACACAGACACATCCTTGCCCATTAGGAGGCAGATACAGGAGTGTTCTTACGGGTGAGAAAGGCTCAGCAAGGTCAACATCGTGCCCAGTGTCACAGGGTAGTAGGCACAGCTGGACTCTGACCCCAATGCCCACGCCCTCTCCTCCCACTATAGTCTCTTAGAGCTCAGAACACATCGCCTGTGGTTTTCCCAAAACAGGACCAGGAGGGTGAGAGCTGGCCGTTCCTGCAAACACTAGGGTGTTTCCTCAGGAGGCTGGGCACCGGCGCCCAACAGACAGGCTGTGTGAGCCCTCCCACCAGCCGCCCCTCAGCCTAGTCCCCACGTTTGCATGTGCAACAGCAGCCGTGCAGCATGCGGTTTCACTCCTGCAGGACTACGGAAACAGGTCCTCTGTGCGTGCTGCCGCCCAGCCAGGAACAGCGAGGGCTCTCAGGCTGAGGAGGCAGCCGTTCCAGAGCCCTCCCAAAGGAGAACAAGCCCTCGGCGACTGCTGGGGTGCACCTGTCTGCATGACATTTCTGGGTATAGCTGCTGCTTCCTGGTTTCCAAATGGCCCCAGTTATAAAACCCAAACTGGTTTCAGGGTTGTCTAAATAGCTGGCTTGCCAAAGAGCTAACAAAGGGGGCTCCCCAGCAGCTCACATCAAGGGCAGTGGTCCCCCCACCCCAGCGGCCATGTGTTACACTTAAGTGTATCGGTCCCTGGGGGGACAGGCCACTGGTCCTGCACATCAAACATGGTCCTAACGGGGAGGACAAGAGTCACCATGTGCTGAGGGTAGCAAGCAGCCACTAGGTCCTAAGGAAGCAGGAAAGGCCTATGACCCTACGCCAAGCCATGGCCAACGCCCCCATGTGCCCCACCTCAGTGGGCAGTGGGATCCGGAGAGCCTTGGGCTAGACACCTCACATCTGGCTGCCAGCCCAAGACACACACGCACCCAGGGCCTCCCCCAGCCTCGAGAGCCCATCCCCACTCTCCAGCCTGCCCGCTCCCTGCTCACAGGTGGAGGGGGGAAAAACTGAAACGCACTGGTCCAGGCCTCCTGGCCCACTTGGGTGTGGAGGTGGCATCCCAACAGGAGACACTCTGATGCCTACTCGCAGCAGGAGACAGCTCACACCTCCTGGGGGTGAGGCCCACATCCAGGCCAGCTGCCAGGAAGCCGCAGGCAGCCCACCTCACCACAGCCTGCCCGCCCAGGGAGCCCAGGCCACCAGATGCCCTGGTGAGGCCACTCAGAGAGGAGCTCCCTTGATTCAATCCCAGGCATTCTCCAACTAATATGCAGGGAGACCTCCTTCCTTCATGCCTGCCTCTGTGAGATACCTGCTATTTCTGTCTCTAGAGGCGTCAGTCTCTGCAGAACCCCAGGAGGCCCTGATGGCATTTCAGGGCATGGCTTCCAGGTTCTGCCCAACTGCTGGATCAAGGGATGCCTGAGGTCACAAGGGGACAGATTCCATCTGGCCCCCGGGGGAGGTCTGTCAATGATGTCCAGACCGCCTCCAACTTAACTCCTGTCCTCCCTCCTCAGCTACAGCACCAGGCCTCACACTTCTGCTGGAGGCCACAGGCCTTGTGGGCAGCAAACCTGTTTCTGCATCTCACCCCACTGCTCAGGATATGAGGGGATGCAGGAACCACCCCCAGTGGGCTCCAAGGGCAGGGCCACCTCAGGTGAACCCAGCCCTGAACAGGTCTCTGGCCACTGCATGCCGCTCAACACCAGGCTGGCGCCCTCACCTGATGCCCGTGGAGCGTGTAGAGCAGCCGGCCCTCCATGAGGTCCAGGATCTTCAAGGTGGAGTCACTGGAGGCCGTGATGAGGTAGTTTCCAGACGGGTGGAAGGAGAGGGCATTCACCGCTGCACTGTGCACTAGGGAGAGGACATTGGTCAGGCAACAGCTGGAGGCCCAAGAGCCCAGCTGCAGCCTCAAGGCAGGTGACTAAGGCCAGTGGAGGCTCAGCACAGGGTAGCCGCTGCTCAGAGGAGCCGTGGGGACCCCCAAGGATTTCCTAGGAGAGCAGCCTAGGATTCTGTCCCGATCTAAGGACAGGGGGAGACTCAGCCCGAGCCAAAGGCAGACAGGGGAGAAGTGCAGGTGGGAGCACACGTGGCAGGCCAGACGTATCCAGCGATCCCTCCACCTGCCTCGCCACGCTGAGCAGCTGAGCAGAGCAAACCAGAGTGCTCAGCCTCGGGCTCAATCTGTCTTCCTCACTGCTACTTAGGGAAACCAAATAGAAAACAAGACCCTTGAAATGCCAAGGCGATGCCCCTGCATGTGGGGGCAGGAGAGCAACGGCTAGCACCCTCAGGAGCCATGCAGGCCTGGTTCCAATCCGTCTCCCCAACAGTCCTCCCTGTGACCCTGAGTAAGCACCTCGCCACACTGAGCCTGTCTCTCCTTCCCTATTATACATGGCACCCAAGTGCTGGTGTTTCAGAGGCTGCTGCCAGGCTAAGCCTGTGAGGCCTCTACACAGAGGGAGCCCTTGGGTACCCTCTGCTGCCCCCAGCATCCCGTGCAGGCCAGTCCTGTGATTTTACCCAGGCAGTGGCTCAACCCCACCCATGACCCTTTCCCCACTGCCTCAACCCAAGCCCCACTGTCCATCCTGATGTCTCTTACTCCCCAAGATCTGGCCCTTCCACCCCTTGCTCCCCATGGGCCTGGGAGACTTGTCCATGTCTTCCCCTGACCTTGAAGCTCCCTGCTCAGTGTCACTTGCCCACTGGGGCCCCCCGATTGTCCTTCTGAAACACCATGAGTTGCCGGGCAGCATGCTCTTCACAGCAGGCTTGCGTGTATGTGCAGCTGGATTCGGGGCTGGGTCTCTCCCAAGACTGCATGCTGTGTCAGGCAGGGGCTGTGTGGGTCCTCAGCTCCCGGCTCAGCACCTGACACTGGGCAGACTCAGAAGGCAGTGGGTGAGTGGATGCGGTGCCCCAGCAAGCCACCAGGGATGGCAGTGTGAGCGCCAGCTGCATCACAGCTTCTCAGAGGAGCTGCAGAAGATGCCAGGGCCTCTGTACCCATCACCACAGGCCTGGTGAGGGACCCCGTGGGGCTGAGACAGCCATGACGCTGCCAAGGCAGACTTGCTGAACATGTAAAAGCAAATTCTAAAGCCAACCCCTCGTCCTGGCACTCTGAGGCTCCCGGCCACTGGTGGGCCAGTGAATGCAGCCACCACGGAACAGCCCTCAGCAGGTCCCGTGGCTGCACAGACCCCTCAAGACACCAGCCTGGCTGCAGTGCTAATGCCCCTGGGAGGGTGGATACATGGTCCCAAGCACACCTAGGGAAAGCAGCCAGGGCCTTACATAACACAGCATTATGCCCGGCCACTCCAGGCAGCAGGAGCTCCCCTAAGGGACAGCCTGGAGAGGGCTCACAGGGTTTCCACAGCCAACTCCTGGAGGCAGAGGCCAGACCCCACAGCCTGGCACACTGCCCACACTCGAGGCCATGGGGGAGGGGGCCAGCACCCTCAGTGTTTACCAAAATTTGGGGCATGGAGTGCAGAGGAATAAAGCCATAGCCGATGCCAGCAGGAATAAAATGGGCACTACCCACAAGCCAGAGCAGAAAGAACATTAGTAACACACAGAGGGAGACTGTCCCTGCTCATGCGCAGAGGGGCACACCTAGTGTGCAGGCCCGAGGAGGGGCGGGGATAGAAGCTACAGATGGGGAACAGGGCTCATCTGCAGGGAGGACAGGGACAGGGAACTTGTCATTCTACGTACTCTCAGAATAGTGTGACCATCAGGATCCAGTCACTATGATCACACAGCAGAGTGAAGGATGGAAAGTGAAGGTCTCCCGCCCCCAGCAAGAGCACATTCCGCCCGGGGGCAGGAAAGCATGTCTAGCCCATAGTGGTCCTGCAGGTCCTTCAGCCAGTGCCTCTACAGGCTGAGCGGCCAGCGCTCTCCAGAGTTCGGGTTCGCACTGGCAGTGAAGTGGGGTGGGAGGGGGACAGAAACCATGCTGAGTCCCTCGGGCGAGTCTCCCCCTCCACCACAGCAGGAAAGCCCAAGAAGTCCCCAGGGCCTCACCACACCCCAGTCTACCCTTGGGCCTCTTTAAATGCCGCTTCAGGCACACCTGCCTCCAAGCCATGCAGGGCGCACCATTCCCCTTTCTGCAGCCCCTGGCAGCCAGCAGGGCATCGGCGCCACCCGCCCCAGCTGAGACACAGCTAGCCCACCAACAGTGGGCAGGGCATGGACATCACATCAAGACCTCCCACCGTGCCAGACCCACCCAAGGGAGGGCCTCTTCCCCAGAGGAGGGCCCCACAAGCCGAGCACCGACAAATGGCAGGAATATCAAAGGCCTCCTCACTGGGTGGGGTCATCGGAGATGTTTACTCCAGAAGAGGGCTCAGCTAGGCATGCCGGGCCACTGGGGATGCACCAGATCCAGGACCTCCTTGCCTCCCCCCACTGGCTCTCCTGCCCCATCCGCTGCCCCTGCCAGCCTGGGGCAGCTTTGCTGGCTCTGTAGGGGCAGTTAAGGCCATTCCAGGGAGGTCTCCTCATGACAGTCCCCTATGCAGACTGGGCTGCCGCACAAAGGATGAGCCTCTTGTCACAAAGCCCTGAGCAGTGACTATTCACAAACAACCCACGTTTCTTCAAGCCCCAAGCTAAAGGCCTCTCTTACTTCCACGCAGTGATAACAGATGGCAGACTGCCATTGGGTGCAGCTGTGGGCCCCTGGCTATTATCCCCCCACCCCACCTCTACCCCAAACAAGGGACTCCAACTTAGGCTCAGATATATACCAACGTCAAGATTCTACAGGTTACCAGGAGTCCAGAGAGGTTGGGATTGCGGCTGCTGCAAATGCTACTGAGAACTGGCCACAGCTTGTGGGCAGCAAGTGGCCTACAGAGATACCTGGGTACCCATGATCTACTCTGCCCACACACCTCTGCATGTAGAAGCCCTCACCAAACCTGGCCCACTGCCCAACGGGCTCCAAACTGGCCAAGGGATCCAGAGCGAGCAACCCCAGGTGCCCAAGTAGGGGGTAACTTTCTGGGGCAGTCCATGCCAGGGCCAAGCCCCCCCGCCATTTCCAACAAAGGGCTTGGCCCCCTTCATACAGGGTAGGTTGTCATGATGCACCCTCCCAGTGACACATGGCTTTGGGTTTACAAAGGGCTATGGATTCATACAATGAGGTGCTCTGATGTCAGCAGCACAGGACATTCAAAACCTTCCTCTTTGCTATGAACAGACATGTCTCCAAAGAAAAAATTCAGATGGCCAACAGGCACATGAAAAGATGCTCCACATCACTAATCATCAGGGAAATGCAAATTAAAACCACAATGAGATATCACCTCACACCAGCTATGATGGCCAACATAGAAAAGACAAGGAACAACAAATGCTGGCAAGGATGCAGAGAAAGGGGAACCCTCCTACACTGCTGGTGGGAATGTAACCTAGTTCAACCACTGTAGAAAGCAATATGGAGGTTCCTCAAAAAACTAAAAATAGAACTACCATTTGACCCGGGAATTCCACTCCTAGGAATTTACTCAAAAAAAAACAACTTCTCAGATTCAAAAAGACATATGTACCCCTATGTTTATCGCAGCACTATTTACAACAGCTAAGATATGGAAGCAACCTAAGTGTCCATCAATAGATGAATAGATAAATATGTGGTACTACACACAATGGAATACTATACAGCCATAAGAAAGAAACAAATCCTACCATTTGCAACAACATGGATGGAGCTAGAGGGTATTATGCTCAGTGAAATAAGCCAGGCGGAGAAAGACAAGTACCAAATGATTTCCCTCATTTGTGGAGTAGTAACAAAGCAGCAAAACTGAAGGAAAAAACAGCAGCAGACTCACAGACTCCAAGAAGGGACTAGTGGTTACCAGAGGGGAGGGGAGGGGGAGAACGGGTGGGGAGGGAGGGAAAAGGGGATTGTGGGGTATCACGTGGTGCACATGGTGTTTGTGGGGTCACGGGGAAGACAGTAAGTCAGCTAGACAAGTAGAGAATCTGTGGCATCTTACTACACTGATGGATAGTTACTGCAATAGGGTGTGGCGGGGACTCGATAATAAGGGTGAATGTAATAACCACATTGTTTTTCTTGTGAAACCTTCATAAGAGTGTATATCAACAATACCTTAGAGAAAATAATAGATTAAAAAAAAACTTCCTCTTTGCAAATGTCATATAAATTGCCCACTTAGAGATGGCGGTAATGGCTCAATAAGCTGGCCAGACCAGGTAGGACAGTGCACCGCCCCCTAGCAACACTTTTGGGTCAAGATACCGTGCAAAGGGCACAGGCCTGCCTACTGGCTGGCTACACAGCTGCCTTAAAACCCTCTGTGACCATAGCTGGGGCAGGGTGGGGCTCCAGGGATGTGCTAAGGACAGGCAGACAGAGCACCTGGGACTCTGAGCTCTAAGTGGAGTTCCTGGAGGGGTCCAGGCCAAGCCTTCCCAGGGGCCTTGGGGAAGTAAATGGCTAGAGCCCACACAGTATAAGGGACCCAGTGTGGGATAGTGGACAGACGATGAACTCAAAGGCCCTGAGATGGAGACCCAGATTCATAGCTTCTTATCTATGCGGCCGTGGACAAGCCTCAAACCCCCACCTGTGAAATGGGGAGCAGCTTGCCCTGCTGGCCGCCCAGGCCTGTCACCAGATGACGGACCTGCATGTGCCTACACACTGCAAAGTATGCTTTGGGTTCCGGAACCGGTGTTTGCAAAGTCTTACTGTGGGCTTGGAGCACATGGAGCCCAACACACCTCCACAGGACTGGCACTCCCGGGCCCAGCAACCCCACAGACTCCATGTTGAGCTGGGAAATCAGAACTGCTCCCCACAGTGGCAGGCCAGAGCCAAGAAACTCCTTGCCTGAAGCCAATGGCACCAGCTGCCTGCTGGAGCGCAAAGCCACATTCCACACAGGACAGGAAGTGTCCTCCACGAAGTGTGACCATAGGGCAGCTGAATGTCCCCTGCAGAATCATGAACCAGATTCTCAGGACAGCCCATCAGCCTCATATGCCCAAAGCCGACTCAGGAGTGCCTGGTGCTCATCCGGCCACCAGGAGACACTGCAAGTCATTGTGTCCTTGAAAACTTTTCCCTGGGTTTCTTAGGGCTCAGAAGCAGAAATCAGCCCAGGTGCCTCCTGCCAGAGGGCTGGGAGCCCTTCCTGAGGACTCAGCCTCCACACAGCTTCCATGCACCTGTGCGGATGGGGAGCAGCTGCTCCTCCAGGGCTGGAGAGCCCCTCAGACAAAGGTTCAGGCACGGAGCTCTCTAGAGAAGCCACCAGACCCAAGCAGACCTGGCCAGTCCCTCCGGCAACAGAGGGTGAGGGCGCGCCCCAGCCAATGAGGCATATCTGCTTGGCTCTCCTTGAGCCAGAGGGTGAGCCTAGAGGGGGTGGGATATGTCTGTTGCCCTGGAAGTACCCACCACGCATCACGCACTGGGCAGGGCACGTGGGGGAACCCAGTTGTTTATGGGGTATCCAAGCCCCCCAAAGCCTCAGATCTATACTAGGGGTGGCTTAGGAACAAGAGGCTGCAGACTCACTGAGTGGCTCTTCACTAGAGAAAAGGACAGTGGCAGAAACCCACTGAAATCTCTCTGCAGAGCCTGTCAATCTCACGCACTGCAGGTCTCCTCAGGAATTGGCCCTGACGCTGTCTGAGGCCACCCAGCCTGTCCCTAGCCTTGCCAGTCACTGACCTGGCACCCCACCCACTGCCAAGCCTGCTCCCTCAGGAACCCCGGGGCCTCTCCCCTGCAACGCCCTCCCCTTGGCGGCTCCATGTCACTCCACCTCCTGACCACCCTCTTCATTAGAGTCAGTGCTCCTTTACTCCCGGGGCTCTGCCCTCCAGGGCAGGGGGAGGGAGCCCCCCTCACTCTGTCTGCTTTGTGGACCTTTCCTTCCAGGCTTCCTACCCAGGAGGGCTCTCAGCACTACTGTCCTCTCTGATGCCCACACGAGCGCCAGAGCCGACCCAGCAGAGCCGGCTAGGCTGCATCTTCAGGATCTGGTCCAGAATTTGGCATTCAAGGGCCTCCCCTCATGGGTACCTGCTGCTTGCAAACATCAGCCCAGGCTGCTGACCCATTAAAGGAGCACCTGGTCTTTCCCAGGGTCACCTATAGACTCTCTCCTCCCAGTGTCAACTCCCACATGACACAAACTATATCCCCAGCACTGCATTAGAGTCCTTATGGGTTCTCCCTCACATCCTCACAAACCCTGTAAGGGAGGCCTGACCACCATCCCCATCCCCTTTACAGACAGCAAACAGCCGGTACCCCTGACCACCGCGCTGCCTCACCGCCTTCCCTGCCCCTCTCTCCCTGTGCAAGCCCTCCCTCCTGGCCCCACTCAAAGGAGGCCTTCCCTCCAGCACTCAGCACCCACCTGCCACAAGCCCAGCCAGCTGGGCGGGCGGGCCCACTCTCCACCCCAGCCCAGCCCAGAGTGGGAGAAAGGCACCTGAAGGTGCGGAGGGAGAAGTGTGGGCTCCACGCAGAGGGCAGACCCCACTGCTGCTTGGTTCTAGAAGCTCTGAAGCAGCATCAGGCACAAACCCCAGGAACCTGTGGGGAGACAAGGGTTCTTGCGGCTGGCCCCTGCCACCTGGTGGTGGTGAAGGGTAGTGCGGGCCTCAACCAACAGGGCAGGTGGCAGACCTGCCTCCTGGCCCCAGGACTGGGACTCACCCAGCACCATCAGCACAGTATGCACACCTACCTGGGGCCTGCTTGGTGTCGGCACCTCCAAGTGCTTGGTGGGACCACCACCTGTGAGACAGGCCCCATCCATGTTCCAGGGCCCAGGACATCAAGTGACCTGCCCAGCGTCACACAACCAGGAATGCTGAGGCTGGCTGAGGCTGGCTGCAGAGCGCACCCTCCACCGTGCTTTGCAAGACCAGGACCCACTCCCCCTTCTGGGAAATCTGCTCACTTCAGTTACCCCAAGAAAGTGCCATCCTCAAACATCCTCCAGGAGGAGCTGCAGAGGCGTCAACAGAACAGCTCTGAACCAGGCCCCAAACCTCTGCCCCGAAAAGACCTTCCCATTTTCAGGTGTGAATTTTGGAAGTGAGTCCATGCACTTTAACTTAGTACCAAGCCAGTGGCTGCAGGTCTTCAAAAGACCTTAGCCCACATACCCGCCTGCTTCCCCATCCCTCCTGCGGCCCCTCCCCAGCTCCCTGCCCTGTGCCCCATGCCCACACCAGGTGACTCTTGGTCCTGCCCAGTTGCGCCTGCTCTCGCAGAGCCCCAGACCCCAGCACCTACAGCTGTCTCACGCTAATCACACCCCAGTCTGCTCCCGACCCTCGCCCACCTGCACCCTGACACTGGCCCATGTCAATGCCTACTGCCTGCTTTCCAAGGGCTATGATGGCAGCAGGGACACAGTCCCTGGGCTGCCCTGAGGCTGGTGCCTAGCTAAGCTGACCCTCCCTCTGGCTCATGGCTCCACCTCTGTGAGGGGCACAGTGGGACCTTGGGTGGCCAAAGTCCCAGCAACATGGACCTCTTTTGACAGACTTGCCCCCTTCACCATAGGTCAAGAGTTGTCACCTTGGCCCTGGAGGGGAGTGGCATGGGCTGCCCCTGAGAAGTGGCCCTTGGGAGGAGCCCAGTCCAGAGACCCACAGACACTCCCCATCTGGCCCTGCAGTATGCATATGACTGCCAACTCATGAATGGGCCCACGAGGTGTGATAGATGCCAGGAGGCAACACAATCCATCTCCTGGCCAAGGTTCCATGCCAAGATAACCACAGACTACCCACCCCTGTTGAAGCCAACATACCTGGGACATACCCCACTGACCAGGGCCATCTTCAGGCCCATTTAAGCACCACAGCAATGAGCCAGACAGCTGGTCCCACACAGTCCCACCACAGCTGCTCGTGGACACTCACACTGATAATGCTGCAGGAGCCGGTGTGTCCGCACGTCCCACACCTTCACTGTGTTGTCCATGCCCGCGGCAGCAATGCACGTGCCGCTGGGGTGGAAGTCCACGTAAGTGACAAAGCTGGAAAGACAAGGGAGCACGTGCTAGAGGAAGGCTGTTCTGGCTCAGAGCACTCTCCCCGCTGCTCGACTGCCCCCTCAACCCAGAAGACCTCCCTTCTGCCCCATCTCACTATCAGGTGGCCCAGGGAGAACAAGGAGAGGGTGGAGAACAGCAGCTACAGTGCCCTGAGGTGGACTGTCAGGGGCAAATCCCAGCATCAATCAGCTTCGTGTACCAGCAAAGAAGTGGGCAGCCGGCTGCTCCAGGGCTCTCAGAGTCAGAGCCGGAGGCAGGCCAGGCCGGGTCAGCAGGGCCCCAGGGCCGCCAGCTCACCTATCTCCTCGTATACCCACAAGTGAGACAGGCTGGGGTCATGGCCAGCCCAGGAAGACCTCTCACCTGGGCTCCCAGTCTGAGGAGGGCAGAAGCTGGGGTCCATTAGGAACCCAAGATGGCTAAGTCCCCGCTCAAGGGCAGGCCCCCCACTGCCGTGATGGCACAGCACATGTGAAGAGCCCACCCACTGCAAGAACCTGGTAAGCCCTTCACTGATAGAGTCATCACCGTTGAAGTGACACGCTAACATGATTTTGGGGATCAGGGCTCAACTGCTTTCAGACAAACGTGTCCCAACTCTGTGAACTAGAAAGTGAATGGAAAAGGGAGGCCCCAAAAAAGACATGCTTTGAGGTCAAGCGCGCCTGTTATATGTGGAGGCGAGGGTGAGGCTGAGCCTTCCACCCACACAGGAAGAAGTACAGCCCCCACAGAAGGCCCCTGGGCCTGTGCACACCCAGGTCCGTGAGTCGGAGCGCTGCAGGTAGAGGGCAGGTCTGCGGACTCACCCGCCATGCTCGCAGTATGAGTGGACACACTCCCGGCTGGCTTTGTCCCACAGTTTGACAGTCTTGTCATCGCTGGCAGACACGATGAGCCGCCCGTCAGGGGAGAACCTGAACCAGGTTGGAGAACATCACACACGGTCACAGGCACCACACACTGTCCTCCACAGCCACCTTCGTGCACTGCCCACTGAAACCAGCCAGGGCCACCTGCCCTGCTCTGACCCTGAGTGACCCTGGGCAAGGGGCTTTCCCTCGGGGCAATGGGTAAGACTGGTGCCCACCCAGCAGTACACAGGGAACAGCACCATGCACTGCCGGTGGCCTTTGGCAGTGTCCACATTGCCTACCAGTGCTGTCAGCATTTAAAGCAGCTGGAACCCGTCCGTTAGCATCATTATCCTGTTCGCAGGCCCCCCAAGTCTACTTCTGACTCTGAGAATGAGTCAATAAGACACCTGCTCTCCGGAGTCTGACAGTGAGGCCTCCTAGGTAATCAGGGGCCTCCCAGGAGAAAGGAATTGGGTAACCTGGAGAACAAGTAACTTGCACAGGTCCCCAGAACAACACTGCAATAGTGCCTGACGTCTGACCCCCAGGGATTCCCAGCATCCCCAGACACCCCCCAATCTCTTCCTCCAGGGCAGACACTTGACATGTGATATCTCTGCTGAAAAGAATACAATAAGCTGGAAGTAGGCACATCGCTGTCTACAGTTCTTGGACCTTGTAAGGCCCCCAAGGCACTGCTCCTTCACCAATGAAGGGTCGACCCTCCTCAGAAGCCTGGGTGCCCACCTGATGAGTCTATAGCAAAACCCACCTCTAAGAAGCTGACATGGACTAAATCCCAGCTCAGCCACTAAGTCACCATGTGCCCTGGGGGCAAGATACTGCACTGTTCACTGTGAAACAGAAATGATAACCCCCAGCTTGCAGGAGCGTTACAAGAGACAGATGGAAACAGACAGTGGTGGCAGTGACGCTTCTTGCTGCCACTGTTCGCACTGCTAACCAGTGGCCCCTGTGGACTAGCTCTGGCTGCAACAGATGTCAGGCAGCCGACCGTACCTGGCGATGGATGAACTAGCTAGTCATGCAGCAGCTCGTGGAGCTTCTCAACAACTTACAACCTAAGAGCCTCTGTTCCCATTTCACAGATAAGGAAGCCAAGGCTCAGGAATATTAAACAGTGGCCCAGGGCAGCGCCTCTGTGCCCCCAAACCCCAGTCGCCCCGAGGTCTCCAGGCAGGACAATGCTCACTTGGCACAGCGGACCCAGTTGATGTGCTGGCTCAGGGAAAACAGGAATTTCTGGCGATGAGTGGCCCACACCTTGACTGTCTTGTCATCAGATGCTGTCACGAGGGACTGGCCATCACTGCAGAAATGGACGCTTCTCACTGTGGCCGTGTGTGCACGGAACACGGTTGACTCACCTTTGCTGTAGGCACAGGTATCCAGTCAGCAAACCCAGAACAGTGACATGAGGGCCCATAAGCACATGGACGCTCTTCCCACCTCTCAGGAGCCCCTCCCAAAGTCAATGCAGGCCTGAGCACAAGCCCCAACAAAGGGAGCCAGAGCCTCCCCAGCAGGCACAGAGCGCGGCCTACACCCACCCCCTGCCCCACCCACATGGATGAAGGCAGGTGGAGCCTTTTCCAGATGGCTGGGGCAAGCCAGAAGCCTCTCCCCAACCCCGAGGGAAGGGCCCCCACTGAAGCCCCAGCTTCTGACAGCAACTCCCACTGCGACCAGTACGGAGCGAAGGTGTGGACAGCTCTGGCACCAGGGCTTCAGACACACAAAAGCCCCTCTCAGTCTGCAACTCACACGTTGGGTATCCAGATGCGGACAGTCTTGTCTCGGGAGCCTGAGGCAAGCAGGTGTCCCGAAGGGGAGAAGTTCACACAGGTGACAGCGTCTTTGTGGCCCGCAAAGCGGTAGGCACGTGACTGGGGCTTCATATGCCAGACCATGAGGCATGAGTCCATAGAGCCACTGGCTGAGGAGAGGTAGGGACTCCATAACCCTCAGCTCCAGCAGGCCTCAGGCCTCCACCAGGACACTGGGGTGGCAGGGTCAAGGGAGCAGCATTCCCTGTCCCTCCCGATGAGGAGGGGCCACACTTCCAGTGACTGTGAGCAGGGAAGCCTATGGGCTGTCAGCTCTCCAGATCAACAGATGCCATTCACATGCCAGCCCTGGGCTACAACCACAGGGGTCTCTGAGAAAACTCATCCCAATGGGGTCTCTGAGAGTACTCCTCCCACATTAGGCATTGAGAGGGTTCAACTCAATCAGATGCCTAGAGGAGGTCCCCAAAACAGATCCAAATGACTTCAATTTCCTCTTAATCTACTGCAACCCCCAGGTCAGCAACCTCTGGCAGGGGACCTTGACCAGAGGATGAAGGAGGAACCTTGTCCACAGAAATGAGAAAGCCACAGCTATGATAGCTGTGTCTGACCCCCAGGCAGCCACGGAGCAGGGGTACTCAGCTGCAGCATGCGGGTAGCAGGTAAGGGGAGAACCTGGGTCTGGTCCACAGCCCCTTACTAGTAGGATCTTCAATAAGAAGCTGCTCCCGTATTACCGGGGACAACGGAATCAAAGCAGACACAAGGAAAAGGAACCACTATTTAGGACCCATTCCACAGGCCAGACCCAAGTGGTGGCTGGGGTGTGCAGGGAAAAGCCCAGAATCCAGTTCAACCTTTAAAGGCTGTGGGATGTTGGCAAAGCCCCCAACCTCTCTGAGCCTCACTCACACTCTACATGGAGAACAGAGCTCATAAAGCCCAGTGCCCAGAGAGCTGGCCAGGTGTAACAAGATGCAAGTCTAGACAAAGCACCTGGGTCCTCCCTCACTGTGCCCTGCTACCCCCACACCTCCCAGGTAGAAACAGCTTTCTGAACTCATAACCTAGTGCCTAGGACAAGATGCCTCCTCTTACCAAGCTGCTTCATGTTGAGGCTGAAGTCCACACAGGTAACTGCATCTCGGTGACCCTTAAAATGCCTCTCCAGCGAGGGGTCCTCCTGGGGGAGAGCCAGGGTCAAATGTGTGAAGCTTGGATGAGGAAGGGGCTTCCCCACGGCCAAGACTCTTCCTATAAAAGCCAGGAGGGTTTAAAAATGCTCAAGGCAAGATCTTGTACATAGAAAACCCTCAGTAAGCCACTAAAAACTATTAAAATGAGTTCAGCAATGTTGCAGGTTATAAAATCAGTATTCAAAATCAATTTTCTTTCTGTACCCCAGCCTAGAGGAGGTCCCCAAAACAGACCAAAAATGACTTCAATTTCCTCTTAATCTACTGGAACCCCCAGGTCAATGAACAATCCCTAAAAAGGTAAGATAATTTCATTTATCACACACTAAAAATAATAAATACTTAGGAATAACTTAACAAAAGAAGGGCAAGACACGACAAAAACTACACATCATTGAAAGAAATTGAAAAAGACAGAATGGAAAGACATCCACATCCGTAGTTTGGGAAACTCAATACTGCTAAGACACAATACTCTCCAAATTGATCTGCAGATTCAACAGTCGCTATCAAAATCTCAGGTACCATTTTTGCAGAAATTGACAAACTGATCCTAAAATTCATAGGAAAATGTGAAACAGCCAGAACAGACAAAAGAATCTTTGAAAACACACACAAAAAACAGC